ACCTCGAACGGTGAAAACTTTTTGTTTCCCGCCTCTTTCACCCGCACGTATAACTCATGTGAGATGAAACATATGGCGATCTTTGTTGCCCCGCCTTGCAGGTTGACATTTTGCCACCACACGGCACATCTTGGCCAATCATCAAGGTTCATATCATTTGTGGATCTAAAACCCCTACTTTTATTACTTTGAGGGACTCAAATAGCGTGTACGTGTATTCCTTATGATATTGTCAATCATCTAATTTGTAACTCCCATAATCTTATAGCTTCTCTATTTGGCTCGACCATGGTCAGTTAGCAAGCCGCGCCACATCATTTGGTCCTTCCAAGAGACGCTAGAAACAATCTAGTAAGTTTGACATTTTTAAATACGAAGTCCTCCGAGTCATTTCAGGCAAAATGTTACCACATTGGTCGGCCCTTTCCTTTATTCTCCACATGTGTAGCCAATTCTCCTCGCCCTGTAGATGTGGCAACGCCGTACGGTCCCACTTTTAGGCATTTAGATAAGTCGTTTTGTGCTTTGAACGAACCAGCCAACATAATTCCTCTAGGAAAAGTAGTTGGGCCGAATGATTGCCTAAATGGGCCATGTCTAGTTCAACATCAGAAGATTCCTATGATCTTCATTTGGCTCATTCGGCCACCATGGCCGAACCGAACTGAACCCCTAAGGCCCCAGGGGCATTAGCAAACATTCTGAGTCCAATCCTTTGTACAAGAATATTGGTTCATTCACATCCTATGTGCAACAAATTGAATCTACTCTCCAAAGCTAAGTATCCCTTAACTTGGAGAGTGGGGGACAAACTGTATGGGCCAAAAATTGTATTGGGCTTGATGAGGCCCAATAGATAAGATAGATAGATTACGGCCCAAGACCTTAGCCTAATTCCAGTTGGACCTACGCTTAAATCCACCTTGCGAATTGCCCTCTCTATGAGTTGGGCTATCCTGTAAGCTAACCTAAGCTGGGTCAAGCCCACTAGCCCATAGCAGTCCATAAATAGGAAACAAAATCCTATTTTGTTTCCACTTCTGTCGAGATCCCCGATCACATTCATAAATGTTAAGCTTAACCTGATAAGGAAATGAGATCCTATCTCTTTCCTAATTTCAATTCCTTTACCTAGTAGGACTCGGAGTCCTACTAGAATTGGAACCTCTTGGGTTCACTATATAAGCAAGGACAAACCCTCTCATTTTGGAGGCAGAAATCACCTGCAGCACTTGAGCTCTCAAAGTTCTTGCTCTCAATAACTGTCGCATTACTCTGGCATTCCTTCCCATCCTTAGCCTTCACTAAAATACTGAGCCTTCATTAAAATACCCTCAACCTCGCTGACTTGAGCGTTGGAGTGTTTATGGTAGGCACCACGCTAGTGTCTATCTAGCTTTCACGTTCGTTTTTGCTCTTTGTGCAAGTACACCAAGTTGTCAGTGGCTCACTTCGTATAGGATCAATACTTCTCAATTTGACCATTGATTTTACCGTCTACACATAGTCATTAAATATATTTGTACGTATCAAGCTAAACTAATGTTCTTGAATTGTGTTTCCTTTTATTTTTAATTCTTTTTTAATTAATTCTAATCTCGCCACTAATATCTAATATCCAAGTTAACATAGTTGGTGGAAATTGATATTAGGCTCTACTCCTTGAAGACCTGCCCAACCCTTCACAAGTTAAAGCTATAAGACCAACCAACAATTCAAGTCTCCAATTCAAGCGTATTGAGCCATATATAGCTTATGATTTTGGAAAGTGCAATTATTGAGTTGACTATATATATGTCAAAACCCCTTTAATTTAACCTATTATATAATACATTCATGTTGTCAATAACGCATGTCCGGACTTTAAAATAATGACACGTGGAGCAAAATTATTTTAAAAACTAATATATATTTTTCAATTATAATATAAATAATAAATTTAAAAAAAAATCAAAACTTGAACAGACTAGTGGTCAATTCTGATCAATGAAAGTCAAAATGATGGTTAAACATGGTCAATGTCAATCAAACGCTAGTTAACACCAATCAATACAAGTCAAATATTGATCAATGCAACTCAAACTCTGTTCAACGTGTTGGTTGACATTAAACACTGTTGATCAGCCATTGCATATTCAAATTTATAAATATTAAAATTAATTGACAATGTTTATTTGTTTAACATTAAAGCTAAGTAAAATTGCATTAACTAATACAATGGTTTTAGTATACATTATTTAATGTAGAATAAAGAGTAAACAACATGTTCCCACCCAAAGATTAGCGAAAATCCAAGTTCTCACCCCTCGTTTCATTTATTTTAGATTCCCACTCTTAAATTAACATCGTTAATGATTTTTGAGTTCTGATACCGTATATAGAGTGTTATTACCAAACTACCCTTACAAATAAATTAATAAATTATTTGTAACCCCCAATAGATCTGAATTTTTTCGGCAACTACAAGGAAGGGGAAAATTGGGAGAAAAGGCTCAGATCCGACCAAAATGGAGGCAGACAAGGCTGGGGGATGGATGGGTTTTGTCAGGATGAGTGGGGAAAGCTAGTAGTGGTGGCGATGATGTCAAACGACACCAAAATCCAACTAGATCTAGATTTCTCTAGCAGCCACGAGGGAAGGGAAAATCGCAGAGAAAGGGCTCAGATCCGACCAAAATGGAGGCAGACAAGGTTGGGAGATGGGTTTTGTCAAGGATGAGTGGGGGATACTAGTGGTGGTGCTGGTGGCGGTGGCGGTGATGTCCAACGGCGTCAAAATTCAGTTAGATCTGGATTTTTCCGACAGCCGTGAGGGAGGGGAAAGTCGCGGAGAAAAGACTCAGATCTGGCCAAAATGGAGGTGGACAAGGTTGGGGGATGGATGGGTTTTGTTCGGGATGAGTGGGGGAAGCTAGTGGTGGCCGCGGTGATGTCCAACGATGCCAGAATCCGGCTAGATTTGGATTTTTCTGGTAGTCGCAAGGGAGGGGAGTTATGAGGGTTGCTTGTGAGAGAAATTTGAGATGTAAAGGGTTTTGAAGTTTTCATTTTCATTTCAGATTTAACGCAATTCAAATAATCATTTTACCTTTAACTGTTGCATTAAATGATTTTCTGTTATTTAAGGGTGAAAATCCATAATAAATGAAACCAGGGGTGGGAACTTGGAATTTTGCTAATCTTTGGGTCGTAACATGTCATTTACTCTAGAATAAATTGCATTATTTAACACAATGCAAATTTGTTACCAAATATTGTATTATATTATTTAGTGCTATGTAATGTATCTAATACTATGTTCTGTCGTGTGTCAAACCTAACTAGCTTATTTCAATCATTCTCTTGCATCTCTGAACTCCCTTATACTGTCGTAGAGTTTGGTATTATACTGTACTTGGAAATAAATTAATTGGAAAATAATTAAATTTGCTAGCTATATAGACAGCCAATTAATAAAATCTTAAGTGGGGCAAATAAAATCATAAAGAAAATGTTTTTCCAAGTCCAAATTTGTTATATTTTCCATTTTTCCATCAAATTGATTTGAGTCTTTTCATGCATGAAGAATATTTCAGGTAATGAATCTGATATCGAGAAATGGGTTCTTTTCAAGCTTGAAGATGAATATTTCAGAAATAGAGTCAAGTTTCAATGCTTGAATCAGAAGCGTACATTACTGACTTCAATTGAATATAAAACAGGATTTTTCCATGATTGAAAATATTTTATTGGAGAAATGCTAATTTAGACTCTTTCCTGATAACAACTTACAATAATTAGAAGGCCTTGCTGATATCAACTTCTCACAAATTTTGATTCTTTTCATACATGAACTTACAATTTTAACCGAATAAATTTTATTCTCCATCATGTTAATATTGAGATTTCCTATTCTTTACATAGCTTACCTGATGTGAGTTATTTTTTTTCTTTTTCCTTTTAATTCCCCCAGGCTGTAAATTATTTACGAATGGATTTCTTTGAGAAAAAAGTGGCATTTCTTCACAACTACCTAGCTCTAATGTTTTCTAAACTAATGTTTTAATAACCAACATGGGGTGACACCCAGCAAAGTTGTCGGGTCTCGGGTTGACTAGTTTAATCGGGTTGATAGATCGGTCAAATCGGGTGACAAAAAGTTTAAAATTTTACAAATATACCCCTAAAAATTACCAAAAGTCCCCACAAGTTTAAAATTTAGCAAACACACTCCAAATACAAATTGACGGTTGACTGGTTGGCAACAAAGACACACCAAATGCAATCCCAATCATCCCTTGAACCCATTCCCTAGAAAACCTATCTAAGATCTAACCGAAATCAATTCAATTTCAACCACATCTCACCGACACCAATGTCAACATTCCCAGCCAAATCTCACCACTACTGACGTCAATCACCCTCCCCATCACCATGAAAATACTCCTCTCAACCTCCTAACCAAAACCCATCTCACCCCACCCCTGTTTGCCTTGTCAATCACCGATAAAAGTTGATTATTATCAACACCAGTTTTTTTTGATTTCTAGTTGACTCACTCACCGAAATCAACTCTTTGCACTCACCAACACTTTCTCTTAAAAAACCCCAAGATCCCAACCTTCAATTGTTTATCGATCATCATCTCAATTTATAAAGTTTTTGGTAAACAGTGAATGGGTAATCTAGCCCAATGAAAGCCCTGGGTCTCGATTGAACCGACCATGGCTGGATTTTAAAACAATGTTCTAAACTCTTATCACCTTATTTATTTAGATAAAAATCTCCCTTCAATATTACACTTCCTCTTAATTTGTACTCTCTTGATATTGCAAATCTATACTTTAAACTAATCGCTAACGAAACTAATTTTAATATTGCAAATACGTGATAAAACTTGAATACGAACCCAAAAATCTTCAAGTATACAACTAATGCAATTTCCAGAGCAAAGGCCACACAGCCCACCACAACACAGACTAAATTCGAAACATGCCTGACAGTAAAATGTGGAATAAATATAATTTGCTAAACCAACGCCATGTCATTGAATATTTCACTCAGTTTGTAACAACATAATAGCTACAGCAAAGGGGGAAATTAACAAAATGAATGAAACATGAATACAGGTCAGAACGAGAAAAACAGATTGCTTCTCCATCAGTCTTAGACGGCAGCAACTCTGTGAAGCAATCATATATAGCACAAGAATATGCTACTGAGGCGTTTGACCATGTGGCGGCATACCAGATTGATTACCAGACTGCAATAAGCAAAACCACAGGTTAGCATCTTCAAAACTCATGCGAGATAATAATTATACAAGCATGATCATTCCAGTACAACCCACATATGAACTCCCACTCATTTCAAAGTTATGACGGAAATTAATTTCAGCGTCGTAAACAATAATGTCTATCTACAAAAGGAAAAAAGTACCCCAAAAATCACTTTTCAGTATCACTTATCAGAAATTGATTCTATTTAATGTATGAGTTCAGTTTCACCATCTTAAATCAGACATCATATCCAGTTCAACACACTAGACTCTAGTGATTTGTATCCATAACAGCAATCTCAGGTCTCAATGATTTGGACTAATTCACATATATGCTGAAAATCAGCTTCGCTCCAGTTACAGACACTTATTCTGGTCAAATTATGAGTTCAATTGAACCGTCTTTCAGGGAAAATGCTGACTATCAAACACCTCATCCAGTTCATACACTAGAGATTCATATCCACCAACGCAAATTCAGATGCATAAACCTAATAATAAGCATGAAAACTTTCTCAAAGAGCTTCAAAGCGTAGATCCTTACACTAACAAACTTATGACTTACCTGGTAGGGATTAAACCCTTGCATCATTGGCATTTGTCCTGCTTGTGGACGATTAAATCCACCACCTTGTGGATACATTTGTGCTCCACTTGCATTCGATGGGCCTTGCATATTTGGCAAACCATTTGGAAAGCCCCCAACAGGAGGCACACCACTAGTGGGTAAGGATCCTGAGTGCATTGGATTCATTCCCATGTAATGGCCTTGTGGAATAGATGGAGCCATCTGATTCATTGTACCTTGCATCCCCTGCACTTGGAATAATTTTCATCAGCAGCATCTTAAATTGTCTGAAACAAAGTGAGGAGAAAACCTAACTGGCTTACAGAAAACTTGCAGAGGCCATGCCTCCCAATATCTATTGTCCTCGGCAATCTTATTCAGATAACAAACCAAAGTAAACAATGAAGGAAAATCTTTTGAGAAGTTTTGCTCGAATATTTCATAGTTTTTGATCTTCTAAAAGTCATTTTATAGTTTCAAGCAACTTTGTTATTTCTTAAAATTTAAATCATCAGCAACTGGATTTTCTCTCAAATGGAAACTGTCAAAGACGTGACAAGTATGCTAGCAAAATTTTGATCATGTAGCACCAGTATTTGCTGCATCTTTGGTTTTAGTGTGTCACAAGTAGCACTAGGAACCCTCTTTTTCCTAAAACAAATACTAAGATAAGAATATCTGAACTGATTGTTAAATTTGGTTCAAGGGGAAGAAAATAGGAAAGGTAGAGCTGATTACAGTATCATACCATTGGACCAGGCATTGGCATTGGATGTGATGAAGGTACAGGCAACGACCCTGGCATCGAAGATGGGATTTGAGATGGCATGCCATGTTGGGGCATTTGGGGTGGTGGGCGAGATATATGAGGATGGGGCAGCAAGGGCATATGGGATGGAGGCTGTAGTTGTGGCATATTTGGAGGTTGCATAGGCATAGGGGGCATTTGATGAGGGTGTCCCTGGTGTTGTTGCGGCATCTGCTGCTGTGGGTTTTGTTGATATCCCTGTTGTTGCTGATTGGCAGCAAGAAGAGAGGGATGTGGACCAGGTGGGAGAGGAGGTGCTCCTAAAGGCATTGAAACAGGAAGAGGCTGCTTTTGTTCCCCTTGAGCCGATGAATCAAATGCTGGAATAGTTAAGGGCATTGCAACTCCAATACCAGGAATGGTTCCATCATTTCGAGTCAGTCCAGGAGCAAATGGTCCTGGAGTTGTTGGTGCTTCAGGAACCGCAAAATTCCCAGGCATTTGACCAGCAAGAGCAGCATTTTGTTCACCATAACCTGACGAAAAATTTGTACAACTATTCAATTTTTTGTGTTTAAAAAAAAAAACTGTTGTAAACTCATAGGATTGCAGGCATTGACCAAGATAGCACATCAGCATGTCAAGTGGTCAATCAGATTTTAAAAAACAAAAAAAAAAAAAAACACCATTTAAGCAATCCTTTGCTTCCAAAGAAGAAGATAAGGGGTTTATATTATCAATACCCCCTCAAACACCATAAAATTCGAAGAATATCACTAAACTTGATTTGCCACTGGTTACATTCTGCAATTCAGATCTACAGAATTTGAACCAAACAGCTTTCAAGAAAAACAACATAAGCAGGGTGCAAGGTGGAAAGATAACAAACTGGTTCTGACCAATGCTAAATTTGTCACGAGCAGAATCTCCTGGCCTATTTCTACACCAAAACTTTGTTGTGTGATCATTGCTCCACTGCAAAAGAAGCAAACCAAGTTCAGAAGCGGAAAGGGTAGCCCAAGCATGAAAAGTACTCACAACAGATAAAACCAACACATAAATGTCCACTAGGTAGTAGGCAAATCAGAAACAATGAATAGCCTCATATGTGTATAGACAAAGATCCTGTTAAGAGTGAAATAAAACAAAAGAGGGCAAACCTACTCACAGAGCTGGAAATCGGCTCATTATTGCCATAATTTAGCTAAGTATCAAAGAGATCGTGAACATTATGAGATCTATCAAAGCATTTTAAATTTGCTGTACCAACAGTCATTGAACAATGCTTGAGACTGTACAACAAAATGATTAGGACACAAAATCCTGAAGTGTAGGACAAAAAAAGGACATGGCAGATACAAACACATGAAGGAGCAAAAAGGCTTGTGTTGAATAATAAATATATAATCAATAATTTTAACTGATATGTCTCCAAACATCTGGTAAACAGGAAACTCTTTTTATAAAACAAAAGTTGAAAATAAAACACAAAGATTGCCTCTACCTGCAAAGAAGATATCCAATCGGGTGCCATGCCAGGTCCAAACGCTGTTATCATGTGCATTGGGAATTTCAACCGAGGGTTTCATGCCTGTGAATCAGAAAAATATTTTCTTGTTATAAATACTAAGTTTTAATAAAGCTCTTCAAGAAGTAAATGCAATGACTATATCAGAAGAACAGGTATACCATAAAAATAAAGAAAAATACTCAGCATTGGAAACAGACCAAAAAGGGTCAATAATCGAGGAAAAAAGTTAGCGAACTCATTGAACTCCAAAACAGAATGCACTCTAACCTATGACTCAAAGAAAGCATACAACCACACTAGGTTAGTAGCATTCTCACAATCCTAGAAAGTATTTCTTCCCAAAACCATAGTTATTCTGTTTATTTCTTCTAATGCACAGTAGTGCGAAAATTTAAAGCTTACATAATAAGATCCATTCAAACAATCAATCCTTAACCCGCCACTATCCACTTGATGAAGCAAATACAGAAAAATAAATATCTCTCTAAAATGAAACATTTCTCAATTAAACTGTTCAAAGAATTATATTAAAACACTATATTTGTATGTCTCTCGGGAGTAAGCAACACATGCCTATCAGGAATTTGAACTTAAATTTAATTAGTTGTTATCCAATTTAGTGATGAGGGGGGAGTATAGAATTAGAGGGAGCAAGCAAGAAATCGAGAAAAGAACTAGAGATAAGAAATGGGGAAAAAATCAGACTAAGGAGAGAAACATAGAAACTTGAGGAGAAAGCCAATATTCATATTGAAGTCCAAAAATAACAATGTATTAGGCTCTTATACTGGCCAAATCATAATTAGAAAAAGAAATAAGTTCAACTAGGAAAGAGAAAACTACCAAAATAAGAATATATATAATATAATATATATAATATTATAAAAGATGTCTTAATAACAATTTGTTTTCTGAAACTTTAGATGCAATAGAATATATTCACTATAAAAATAAAATAAATAAATGTTATGTAAGCAAAGAATGCAGACTAAAATGTTAAATTCAAGTCTTAAAGCTTATTAGGTGATTTTCAGATGAAACATAAAAATTACATAGATTGTCTCTTGGTCTTATCTCCACAAAATTTTGGTGCGAGCAAAATTTGATCTCCAGACTCTTGTAAACACATGAGACCTTACCAGCTAAATTAGGTAGTATACACAGTCAAGAGTAATGAAAACTTTAAAAAGCCATAACATGTAAAGCCCCCAGATGCATAGATGAGGAAAAAAATAAGCAACCAGTAAAACACTGTTATCGATCAGGAATAGAATTTACCCAACAAGCCAATGGAAAATGGACCCGTCAAAACTCCCACTAACAAAGTATTCTTCATGGAATGGATGCCATGCCAATGCTAGAAAATTATAAGAAGACAAGCCATAAGTATCATCCTTAAAAAAAATAACCAAAAAAACATATTATGCTTAGCAATCACACTTGTAGCAAAACAAAATTCATATAAAAATAACACATACTCGAACTTATTAATACACATTCAAAAAAAACGATGAAGATATGTTAAATGATCATATAATGTTAGTATTATGACCAGAGATCCTCTAAAATAATAGCTTTAGTTGTGAGTAGGTCCACAGGAAAGACCTCTTGCTAATCCAATCCCATACTTCTTCAGCAGGAGATCAAGCTAATTCGTCTATCACTGTAGTGAATAGTGACTCAATCAGAAGTGTGGAACAGATTGGCCATGAATACAATCGCCTTATTCTCACTCTTTAAATTATCAATAATATTAGCATTTGACCAGGATCCTGTAAAAAATAGCTATAATATGTTGTGCTGGTCCACACCTAGTAACTCAATCGAAGGTGGAACAGACATGGCCATGAATACAAACACCTTATTCTACTTCCACTGCAAAGCCATTTCCCTTCCGACTTGACAGAAAAAAAATTAGCACCTGCCCTCAGGAGTGCTAGTGTAACCATAGATAAGCTGGAGACTAAGCCATCATTTAAATCAAGTATACATATAAGACTTCTAGCAATTGTAGATCTTTTCTTCACTTCATATATATATCAGCCATAAAAGCCTCATTCGAGGCCATGAGATTTTCTCTTCTCTTTCTTTTCTTTATTTTAAGCAAAAGCAAATAGATCATTGATAGAAAAGAATAATTGCCAAAAAATGAATAAAACTGTCCACAAGAAGAGGATCTATATAAAAGATCAGAAAAAGGTCCATAAGAATTTATAAGAGGTAAAAGTGAATAAGTTATAATGATTAAAAATTCAATACCTACCTGCATGTCTTAAACACTACGATTATGGTCATGACAACAGAGATGAAAGTGAGGACTTGAATGCAAACATATTGTACTTGAGCGCAATCAAGCAGATGGGTCATTCTTTATTGCATGTAATGCTACTTCTCAACATCAATAAATTCTTCAGGGTACATAAATCACAGTGAACACATAGCATCTACCCATATAACCATTTCAGTTTTGTTTTAATTGCTGGTTAAAAATTTTTTAGACATTATCATACATGAGATAGCACTAGGATAATAATTTTCACTTACCAGTCACATCCTTTCGATGTCCACGGAAGATTCAAGCTCTTTCAGCTCTTATGGCATAAAGTGTAAGTGTCAGCGTACAGCAATTACAATTATTTAAAGAAATGTAAAACATCAGAAAAAGAGGAAAAGAAGAAAAATCAGAGAAAATAATCAAACAACAAAATTCAAACTTCACAACTTTAAATGAAAAGGATTGAAAGGAGGAAACCTTGATTATTTGATCCTTGGAAGCAGTTAGCACCCAGTTACCATTTGATTCCACTTCACACAAGTACTGTATTTTTGTGCCATGACGCAAGGAAGAATTGCTTGTTAAAATAATTCAATTTTTAAACTAAGTTATGACATATGTCTGTAAGATAAGATACTCACAAAAGCAGAGCTCTCTCCCACTTTTAGCATCCCAAAGTTTCACAAGGTTGTCTTTTCCACCTGAAAAAACATGTTACTTAAAGAGTATTAAGCATTGAATAGAAACTCATATGAAGACCTCAACAAAGGTTTCACAAGAGTAAAAGATAAGAAACCTGAAACCAGAAGCGATTTTGAGGGTGCCAGTCAACACTTTTCACATCCCAACCATGGCCTGCCTGAGTTCAAATCATATAGATAGCCTTAGATCACTTCATGCACATTTAACAAAATACAACATGCAGTAAGCATTTCCCAGATCGTTACACATGGTTTTTCAATAAAATATAATAATAAGAAATTGACTATTGACAGTAATATATGTTGTTTGTTATGTAAATCCTAGATGTAACAAGCAATTGTGTGTGATCTGATTCACTGACACAACTACTCCATGAAGAAAAAAAAGAGAACAGTAGGCAAAGTTAAAAATAAATACAAAAACGAGTACACTGTCTTACTAAAAATTAAGAAGCGCACATTACAACAGTAAAAATTCTAATAAACCCAAAGATTTAGAAGAGTCATGCATTTATACAAGAAGATGCTGTTAACAAAAGGTTTTTCATATATTTTCCATTCCAACGACATAAATATATAAATATAAAATTCTAAACTTAAAAATATCCAAAAACAAATTATAAAAAATGGTCCATCGTAGTATCTGGCAAAGTAAGACACAAGTACAGTTATGTTAGCAATAAATGCACATGTGCATATCCTATTGAGTATTGTGGCACTTATTGAACCATGCATAGTTTCTACTAATTTTAGCTTTAATTCCAGTGCCAGTAATCAAAATGAAAGAATTTTTATTCTCTTTGAAGTCCACCAAAAGATACAAATCTTCGCTTCGTTCTAGTTAACTTTACAGATAAGAGTCCTAGGGTTAGTTGAAATCGTAAAGAACCAAAATGAACTAACACCTTCTCCACTCAATTCCTTGCACTCCCATTTTGAGCATGCGACCAACTTAAATCTCATGGCATCTTTTTCGTAATTTATTAAAAAGAAAAATATAGCTACACACCAGAAACTTACACCTGTGTGCACACTTTCCTAACCCAGATTATTCCTCAGAACTTTGAGAGAATTACAATTATTAATTTCAGACAAGGATTCATTATTATGCTCTGTATTGAGTTGCTTTTTCTTATTAGTATGCAAATGTTTGGGTGAAATAAATTGATAGATCTTTCATGACTTCAATCAATCCCCAAAAAGCCCGAAGACTAGGATGCTAAATCATTAAACTAATCTGAGTATGATAACCCATTATGAGTATGATACTTGTTTTAAGGCAGAACACTAGAATTCTACATCTCAAGCATAAGTGAAACAATTTCATTTCAGGAAACAAACCAAATTGAGATAGCAAATTCATTATAAAAAAATGACTAGTCAAGGCACATTACCAGTTAATGACCGCTCTTCTTGGCACCGAGCAAAGTCCCAAACTTTAACAGTGGTATCATCTGAACAGGAACAGAACTTCAAGTCTGTCCTACAGAAACTGTTCAAAATGTTACTTAAGAAATCCTTCATGAACAAACTCTCGAGTAAAAAAGATATAAACATAAAGATAAATATCCACCTTAAATCACGGACTGATTCTTTATGAGCTGATTTATTGGCCTTCACATTATTCATATTGTTCTGCCAATACCTAAAATGTTGCCCCACACACATGTTTACACCAATATAATATAAATGTTTCTACTTGACATGTAAATAACAAATATATAGCAGCAGAAAGTATTTTCACAGATATAATTACTTTATTGCACCCCCATCATCACCAGAGACCATCCAGTTGTCATTGTGGCTCCATACCATTGATCTAATTGCATGATCATGGGCCTGAACATTTAAAGATAATTAATATTCAAAATTTTACCAAAAGCCATAAGTTTAGCTTGTTCTAGTTATGTGGAAGTATCAGTGTTTCCTAGATTATGTACCTGAAGAATCATTTCAAAATTAAATGATTGTCCATTCCAAAGAGTAAATTCTCCACTTTGAGATCCAGTGATAAGACGTCTACCAGTAGGAGTCCACTAAAAATTAAATGAAAAATTAAAAAATGTCAGCAACCATTTCAAGGGTAAAACTTCAGTCAGAGATAGATCAAAACAACATAATAATAAAGTATATCATGCTTAAGACAGATTGCAAATCCCAATGAAATGCAGTGTAAAATATATGCATACACAGTAGCATAAAAACCTTTGTGCTCGTGCTACATAACTAAACATATAATAGAATTGTGGGAGCTGCCATTCCACCACATTTTCCACCTATGATTACCTTGCATCACTGAAAAAAAATTATTACCTTGCATCATAAGGGTAGCCCCTAATACGTCTAATCAGAGAACAGGGATAGCACCTGGGGCTAAAATATTTGGAGTCAATTCAACTCCCAAGAGGAAGACTATCTTACCATTATATTGTGTTATAACATTACAGTGTACAAACCGTTCGGCAACTATAACATGGAAAAAGGTATGAAGTCTTTTGATTCAACAGGTTTCCCCATGTTCATTGCCAAATTACAACTATGATTCGCCTAAAATGGATCATTTCCTTGTTTCCATATAAAAATCATCTCACAGACCATAGTTACAATAGAATATTGCCTTCATTAGGATCAATACCAGAACAACTTAACTACCAAAGAGAAAAATAAATTTAATCAACATAATCAAAACAGAAAGAGGAGCAAAGCATATTTAACTTTATACACAAAAGATAATGAAAAATAATCCAGCAAAAAACAAAAGTCAAGAAACCTTGTCTAATCAAGCTTACCAAAACCCGGTTAATTGAACACCGATTCTTGTTTAGAGATGTATGAACAAACTTTGCCACAAAGCTTGTTGATGGATTATCTGAATAGGCAACTGTAGGTAACATCTGCACCAAGGATCAATGAAAGATAAGCCTTCACAAAAAGTAAGCACAGAATCCAACCTTAGAGTAGAAATCTACCACCATCATGATCCAGGTAAACCATATTCTCCAATACAAAAAATGATAGAATACAGGTGAAAATGTTCACTGACATCAATTGCTGCTGCTGGGGTACGTTGCAGGACTGTCCTGTCTCTTGAATCTCGCTGCCACATTCGGACCTGCAAAAGTATTGGTATGAGATTAAAACAGTTCAAACGGCAAAATTCATAAGACAACCAGAATCTTGAAACCAACTTCTGTAGAAAACTATATGCAACTAAAAAGGAAAATAAAGACAGACAGCACAAGCAAAAGCAACAGATGTACTCCTTGTAGAGATAACGAATAGTTAATAAATCCTCCAATATCTAACAAAGTAGTCCACAACCACTAAAAACTTATACCAGCATTCTCTTATAACCAATCAAAGCCCTTGCACAAATATGCTTTCAAGATACAATTTTACATGACATAAAATCTAATCTACACAACACAAAATAATGTATTGGACCTTTGTAATCTTACAAAATGAAGGACACGTGTTGATTTAGGAGACTAATGGATTATTTATTTTAAATCTGACAGCGGATCTTGGGTCCATGTAAATACTACTTTACCTTCTTCCTGTAGACAAAGCGTTATATACTTTCCTATAAATGATTTTTTTTCAAAACTAAGACATAATTCCCCATAAACAAACAACAATTAGCAAAGCAGAACATCATATATGATATGGAAGTGGTCCCAATATCATCTGTCCTTAAAAAAGATGTTTTTGCTTTATTATGTAATCCAATTACATTGGTGATACAGAAGTATTAACACCCACTGATTGCCAAGACATGTCCAACCTAGATGATCAACAGCGCCCAACAGAACTAACTTTTAGTAAATAACAATTCACAAAAGCGTTCAAGAAGTTTAAAAATTATCTCAAAAAAATGAAGAAAATAGCCAATAACCATTTCTAAAACTTTTTCTACACTGACAAAAGGAAAAGAATTACTACTTATAAAGAAGTATATAATAAAAAAATTAGATGTCCTATGAAAAAAAACAATGATGTAGAACAGAAGGCAGAAAGGCGAAGGAGACAGAGAAATAAGTATAAATTACAGGGGAAGACGCAAAAGAGAATTAGCAAGAAGATAACTCAGACAGTGATCAAATTTTCAGTATATCATCAATCAATCAATGTCTATATCAAAACAAAGCTTAATGCCCTCACTATATAGATCAATACTAAACAAATACAGAACTAGAAATCAACATCTAATAAGAAAGATAATCATTTCCTAACAAGAAAAAAAAAATATAAGGAACAACCCTAAGTTTCTAAAATGAAAATAACTTAAATACTAAATAATTTCCTGAACCTCTAATAACAAAATCCTATTAATTTTAAATTAAATACTGACTTCTGCATTATGCAATCCGATAGTGAAAAGAATAATAGGAGGACTAGAGACATCCAAAATCAGACGGAAATGCAGCAGGACCAATCATAGGAGCTCCTAAAGGCAGCTACATCAGAAAGAAGTCCAAAAAGGATTAGATAAATAACTAAATAAATAAATACCTGCATATATCGCACAACAGTGCTAGTATAATCAACAGCTCTCCTCTGAGTAAGCTTTCTCATTCTTTTTGCAGCAAAACTATCGCCATGAGCTACAACAACAATACAATTGATTTGAAACCAAGTAATCACACAGACAACCAGTATACGTAGACTGCCAAAATTCAATTGAAGTTCAAGATATAGATATTGATGAGAAAAACTATCATCTTTATAGCCTTCGGGGCTACCTAAATTTGAAGCTCAAGTTGCTAAATGATCCTCAGAGGAAAACAAAAACCCCAAACCTTCATTAATCAGGCACGGTATCTAACAAAACTACCCATGTAGCAAAGACCAAAATTTTTATTCACTTTTATAAGGAAATGCAAACCTAATCTCAACCCAATTTTCTCTTATTTCTTATTAGCATCATCTCCAAAAAAAATCCCATTAGTTCCCATGCCGTTTTATCCTTGGCGACATCATCGATGCAATCAAATCACTTCATACAACAAACCGCCAAAATCCCAATTTTACAAACGAACACTGCATATAGTGAGTCTACACCCACTTGTTTCCTAAAAAATGGCTAACAAAAGTACATTCTAATCCTCTTTCATCCACAAACACAAAGGAAAAAGAAAATAAAAATGCTGAAAAATATTACCGAAATTATTACAATTACACACCACTGAATGTTGCTGAATTTAATTCGTTTTTATTATTCGTAAAATTTAAAACCCAATTCACACAAGTCCCTGTTAGAGTTTAAAGAGTACCTTCGTAGGGAGGGTTTGCGGAAGGGTGATGATAATCGGAGGGGTTGAGCGTAGTGGAGGAGGCAGACGGCTGACGCATCATCGGCGGACCTGGCGGGGGTGGACCACGGTGGAAGTGGTCCCCACCACCAGGCTGCGGCTGATTCTGCTGATGCTGGTGAGGATCACCGTACATCATTTTCAACGGAAATGTGCACGGTGATAGGCAGAATTTTGGTGTGGGATCAAAATCCCTAAACCCTAAATTGACGAAAGCGGGAAATGGAGTGTCTGAAATAACAGATAAAGAAGGAAAAATTCCCCCGGTTGCCAGAAAGTTAATGGACATTAGCTTGAGGGTATTTTGGACATTTGACAACTTACACTAAGAGAGTAAAATATAATAAATTAAATAATAAAATTCCCTAAATCCCAGCCCAATACATGTTGCTGTATGGTCTCACGTTTCATTAAATTGTCTTTCACATCTCCTCTAGGCTTTATCTAAGTCTCTAAACTGTTAACTAATAGAATATGCCTGACTTAAAAGCTAAAATTTCTCCAATACCCTCCATCATGAATAAACACAAAACATGAATCAGGGTTGGTTGCAAGTTGGAACTAGGTTATGAAAATCTAAGTAAACAACCATATGACCAAAAATTCTATAATTAAGTAGCTTTAATATTTAATATTAAAAATAATGGATTAGTCAAAAAATGATTTGGGATCCGAGTCAGCGTATCTTGAATATCGAGTTCCATTATGAAAATGCAATTAGTTAACGATCAAAGTGGAAACCTCATTGTTCAAGAGAATTATGAATTAATATCTTAAAAAAAAAAATGAATAGGGAAAAAGCCTAAGCCCTAAAATCCTAATTCTTCAATATCCGAACAAGAAGAAAAAAAGTTTAGGAAAGCTCTATAGCACTAGAAGCATGATAAGTGCTTAGCGTCATTCGATGTTGTATATATGAATGATTGACTATAGTACACGTGAGAGATTGTTAGAGTTGATACCCAATAGTCAATCATATTTGACTCAACATGATATTATGTTAATCAAATGAAGGTATTCTTCTATATCATGTAAATCATATTCTTATATGTAATGATATATGTCCTTAGAATAGTAAAACTGTGACGGGGGGATCAAGTGTTGTAAATCTTGATTGTGAGGACTCTATAATCATATATGATAGCTATTCTAGAAATATACGTAGCCTTAGTATTATTCTGACCAAGGGCATAGATAATACGATAAGGTTATCATAGCGTTGAACGACCCTACAGAAAGGTAGTGACAGATCTCATATGTAAAAGTTGTTTGGTGATAACTTGGTGCGACACATAGGTGCTTGTTGTCTACAAGTTCACTGGACTGACCCACCAAAGGATTTCATATAGATGGTAACCCTAGTGTCTATGGAATAAATCCTCTAACGGATGATGATGCATGTGATCCTTAAATTTGAGATCACTAGAGCATCTTGTATACATATTAGTGTAGTTTGACACTAGTCTAACGTAGTCCTATCTAGGGCTATCAGTACAGCAGTGATTGGTTGCATTGAGAAGTATATTGCGGCTATGGTGGATCAATAAAAGATTAATCACTCCTAGGTATGGGAGAAAGTTATCCCACTGCGCAATTTGGTTAAATGGATATGACACAAAAATCTATGGTCATAGTAGGATTGAGTTGTTGCTCAATCCAATTCTAATGTGGTCATTAACCCAATAATCAGATTCTAACGCATCAGAATAACATCTGAGATTGACACTATTTCTATACCTCAACCTGATGGGATAACAAATGGTGAAAGAATTTGATTGCACGGTAACCATACTATTGACAGGTATCAGTTCTTCGCTAATCTCTTCATGTTGGGTGACCATGATGTCTTGCTAGAGGCCAATTTTGGTATGTGTGTAGGAGACGATTAATTGGTAGTTAATCACATCACTACTCACTGCCAACATGATAAGGAGCCTACAAGTCACACACTTAGAAGGCAGTTCGAGGTTTATAATGAATAGGGGCATTTTCGTAGTGAAAGGGCATTATCGTCTTTTTTGGCGAAAGAGTATTTGGGTAATTTTATTGTACAATTAAATTTGCTGAGGTTGTTGCCTATGTCCAATATTTATATTGGAATTAAATTTGCAAAGTTATAAATTTATATATTAATATTAATATGTAAATTGATTAATTAATTATTATGATTAATTAATAAATACCAATTAAGCTATTCCACTAAGGAACAGGGTTAATCCTATTCCAATATGGAATAGGCTTTTTGTAACAACTGCTGAAATCTAGTACAATGCATGCATAATAACAATAGAAAATTGGGCCCAAAAACTTTCTTTTCATTATAAGTCATATGTCTTTTATACACAAAGAACGTCATTTACAAAAATGCCATTTTAAAAGACAAAACAGGGGAAACAGTGTAGCTATTGCTCCTCACTTGCCGACGCCCCTCCGACTGCATCGTCACCTAGATCCTGCATCCACAAAGGAAAATAACGGGGTAAGCACAAAATAATGCTCAGTAAGTAAAACCCTCTATCTGTCTATCCCCGTATGTATTACTCTTAATTCTTTCCTCACACTTTCTGTTGTTTCCTACTAAACGTCATGGCCTCATCTTACCGGAGGTACGGCCGGATGGCGTTCACACAGCACCATCTCACTCTTCATGACTATCGGGTGGAATTCACACAGCACCAACCCGTTCTTAGTGACTACCGAGTGGGGATCACGAAGCACCTACCCGGTTTTCGTAACTATCGGGTGGAGACCACATAGCACCTACCCGTTCCTCATGACTTTCGGGTAACGATCACCAAGCATTAACCCGTTCCTAATCACTGTCGGGTGATGATCACAAAGCATCAACCCATTTCTAATAAATGTCGGGTGATGATCACAAAGCATCAACCCCTTTCTAATAACTAACCGGGTGATGATCACAAAGCATCCACCCGTTTCTAATAACTATCGGGTGATGATCACAAAGCATCAACCCATTTCTAAGGGCTATTCGGGTGGTGATCACAAAGCATCAACCCGATTCTAATAACTGTCGGGTGATGATCACAAAGCATCAACCCATCTCTAATAAATATCGGGTGATGATCACAAAGCATCAACCCCTTTTCTAATAACTAACCGGGTGATGGTCACAAAGCATCCACCCGTTTCTAATACCTATCGGGTGATGATCACAAAGCATCAACCCATTTCTAATGGCTATTCGGGTGATGATCACAAAGCATCAACCCGATTCTCATAACTGTCGGGTGATGATCACAAAGCATCAACCCGATTCTCATAACTTTCGGGTGATGATCACAAAGCATCAACCCGATTCTCATAACTGTCGGGTGATGATCACAAAGCATCAACCCATTTCTACTACTCTTCTCATTCACTCCACTCTAGCACTTCTCATTCTCTCTACCCTTAGAGTAGTTGCATCCACAAAGTTCTCTACTCATAGAGCAAGTGCATACACAAAGTTTCCTACTCTTTCTTAGGTCACTTCTCAATGCACAATTAATGCCTATGGATGGTTCATCTCCACTAATGCACTTATGAAATGCCAACATGCAATGTTGCAAGAATTAAGGTTCACTACTCATACTCAAACCTCTATTAGGCATTTCATCAAACAACTCAAGTGCATAATAAAACTCTACTATAACAATAATTCTAAATCTTTCTCTAACCATCCAAAATGGGGAGAATGCCCCTCACATAGCCACATAACCTGCCAAAGAAAGACACTTCCAAAAGGGTTCCACAATACCCCTTCAATTCCATCTCCAACTACCTTTCCAACCCACAACTCACTTCTTATATTTGAAAGGCATAAACAATCACAAAGCACTAGAAATCTCTATTTAAGCCTCAATAACATGGCATATAACATGTATATCACATACATACATCATTGCTATCAAAACCCTAATCAAGAAAATTCTCAAATCTCAACTTGGGTTGGGATTTACTTACCTTGTTATGGAGAGATTTCACTAACTCTTCCTTTCACTTGGTTTGCTTGACTTTTTCTCTACTCTTAACCAAAAGAACAAAACCCTCAATAATCAAATATATACAAAAACTCACAAAGCTTCACAACCAAAGCAAGAATTCTTACCTTAGGGTGCCTTAGATTGATTTTCTACCCTTAATCACTCCAAAAGCCCTTCAAAACTCCTTGAACAAAAGAAAGAGAAATTGAGAGGAAGCAAGAGAGGAGAGTGGCGATGGAGAAGAAGAATGAAGGGTTTTGAAATGTCTTAATTCCTTTTAATGAAATTTATACACAAGCCTTCCCATTTTGCCCTTACTCTTCTTTGGGAATTCTATCTATATCCTTTGATTCATTACAAACACACCCCCATAGCAACATATTCTCCATGAAAAATCCTTTCAATTTACTCCCCACTTTTCCTGCTAATTAGGGGTAGAATGGTCAAATTGCCCCTAGGGAAGAAAATATCTAAAACTTAACAACATTTTGGTCAGCCTGTCGCCGCGGCGAGGAAACTTCTGTCGCCGCGGCGAAACTGTCCAGCAGCTTCCCCGTGGCTTCAACACCTCTTCGCCGCGGCGAAGATTATTCTTCGCCCCGGCGAAGCATGGAATACTGAACTTCTTCTATTTTCAACCAATTTCAGGGCAAGTATTCAACATAACACTCAATCAAAGGTCAACCAACCAATATTACCAAGAACCCAACTCAAATAAGAGCAAAAGAAGAAACAATAACTGCGTACCTCAAGTGGGGCGTTACACTTTTTCATGCTATAAAAGCATGATTGAAAATTAGGGTTTGGTGAACCCTTTTAGTTTTTGGCCGCCCCTTTGAAAGAGAATTAAGAGATTCTCTTAATTCTTCTTTTGTCCTTTTCATAAAACCTTGAATCAATTGATTTTGTTCTAGAAAACAAATCAATTGAATTTGATCCTACCTTCATGTGGATACCGAGAACACAATTCTTTCCTTGAATTGGCTTGCGAAGGATTTTAGAGAATTTGAAGGAGTCGCCTACTGGAGTTAGCTTTTCTAAATCCTTGCATGTGGATTTATTTGTTGTTTGAATATGTATAATCAAACACCCTTGATCTTGGGTTTCGATAAACATTGGGGAAAAAAATTTAATTTTATTCTGCTACGTAAACCCCAATTACATTTGCATGACCATATGAAGTCATGTAATATGCAAAAACAATATTCAATTATGCAATATATGATGACTTTGAAACAAGAAGTTGATGAGAGAGGAAACATTAA